ACCGTGATTCTTCGGGCTGGGACTTCAAACCCTTACCATTGAGCTACACGGTCGACGGTTATCACCTTGTGCGAATGGATCAATCCATTTCGATGGTGAATGTTTGAGGTCCCAGCCCTAAGAATCGCGGTTCGAGTCCTGACAGGCACACAAAAAGTACGCACTGCTGACGAGTCCCAAACAGGACGAAACAGCTGTCCAGTGCTATTTGTTGGTTATCACAAACATTTCCATCGCACTGAAATGCAAACAAACGGTGGGGAATTAACGATCTCCCAAGGAATGAAACCCACATCGAACATCATCAACAGTGACTGGTGCCTGTGAAAAACCGAATGGGTTAATCCAAGCACTCACCATCTAAAATGATTATAAAAGCTTGAAAATGAAATCTCCGAATACTTATATCCTCCAACTTAAAAGTAGGCATCACAATGCAATTATGGCGATCATTTGGAAGATCTTTGGTACGGTCGTTTGGTGGTCGTCATCATCAATTCGACGCAGCTAAAAAGTTGCTCAATAAAAGGAATCCAACGTGTGTAAAAGCAAACAAGATTTATGATCCTGAGGATTTGAAGCAAGCGACTGCCATTGAGTCTGTTGGTCTTTTCCAATGATGTGATCAGAAGTTAGCTCTGCCAGCGGTGTCCAAATGTGAGCCGGAGCCGCATCATGTTCATTCTGGCAATTCCAAACCTGTTAATCGAAACAGCTCTTGTGGTACGTACCACTTTTGTTCCACGAGCCGATCTCGCAACGCAAAATACGACGCGCTCAGCAAGACGGGGCACATATAAAGTATATACTAACAACCCCGTTTTTACCTGACACAGCTACCGGCTCACACAGATGCAAGCATTCTTGTCTGTACATCACGACCCCAAAGTTGATGAGAACGGCTCATATGCAAAGACATAATACTCCCATCCGGTGTACCGCATAAAATCATTGTGGACATGGGCGGTGGTGAGTTATAATTAATACAGAAATTGTACAATCCATGTGACCCGAGGCTGTGGTTTGTCCGTCCACGGTGCAAATTATTGGTGTTACTGTCTACATATTCCCATTATTGACCGAATTATTGTTATTGGTGAACCAGCGGCAAACTGCTTTATTCCTATTCGTTTTCTGGTCACTAAATGTTGTCCTTGCATCCTGGGTCTGACCACCAGAAGAGTCAATTCAAAACCTTGGATACCCGCAGTCTACCGACCGTTCACATACACATCAACAACGTTTATTCGCGAAATGTTCCAACGATGCCGGCGGCATTCAGGTCCAACCTGACACATTGCATTTTCTCTGACAGCCAATCATCTTGAAATGGCGCGTAATACAGTACAATCACTGCGAAGGTGTGTTGAAAACAAATGAGAATACAGGGAGAGAGAGAGAAAGGGGTTGTCATTAGTTGAGTCACGTCAAACTCGTGTTCAATGCGACTTGTAATGTCGATGAAAAATCATAAAAAATCATCAGGATTTTGCGAAGACTACTGTTTGAAGCTGGGTCCTAGCCTGAGAAAACGTGTAACTATGTCCCTAGAATTCGAGAATTTGATGAAGGCGTTGAATGGTGACACCAGCTCTTTGATGATCGATTTGGCGGATGTTGACATTCAGATTCCCTTGATCCTTACATGGCGACTAATTATTACTGCCGATTTACCGTGCTGATTACATCAGTTAAACCGCCCGCCGCGTTTACGTCTTCATATCTCGTCGGGTATACGTCAAGCAGCCATTGGTGAAGCGACCAATGAAATTGACAATGTGCTGGCGCATCCAAAGGATGTCATTGTGTTTGGCGCGATGGAGGACAAAAGTGACAGCAACAGGGTCGAATTCCTAGGTTGTTTTAAGCAAAGGAACGTGGTAATACGGTCGTCTAAGAGTGTGTTCAGTAAACCGACGTAGGCATGTTTTGGTTTCCCGGCGGATTCAAATAGCTGTCATTCAGACTCCGGTCGTTTTCCCGAAAGACCAACATCAACTTAGATATTTCCTAAGATGTCTCCAATACTATGCATGTTTGTTCGTAAACTGTAACGCGCGGCCTCTGGACTGGGGTTATCTCGGACGACTGAACCACAATACAGACCGACAGGTGTTTGTCTCATTAGCTTCGTCGAAACGATCAAAATTGGTAGCGGATGCATCAGATATTGGTATTGGTACTGTACTTGAACAATGAGGATATCCCATCATCTGCTTGTCCACTTTAGTGAAGGCAACGTGTTGTGTGGCCGAACGCATGTCTTGGATATTCTGGTATGCATTGCTCCCATTGAACGCCCAATATCAATGCTCGGTATACACACATTAGAGCACATACAGGCATACAAACGCACATGACACGGAAGTTCCTCGAATACACTGGCAAATAAAACTGTACCACGTGTCTGCTTGCTATTGATTGGCTGACTTCTGATGTCATGTACGGTCGGTACCGGCTAATGACATGCTTTTATTGTTGTACGTGAATCACGATGCATCCATTTTATGCGGAATAAAAGGATTTACTTCCGTTCATATTAGGAGATATTACAACCCGATTGAACGGTTATGTTTTCAGGCCTGTTTGTACTACGTTCTCCGATAGTGACTGAACACCACGCATCGCAATAATACCCAACACCATTGTTTGCATAGAGTGAAACGTGACTTAAAAAGACTTGTTCACTGTCAATAAAACAAACAAAAACCTACCATGATTAAGAGGAAGGGCACGGCGCTCGATCCTTGATATTAAGTTATCCAGCAGATCTTAGGTTCAATCAATCCTCAATCCCAACTTTCATCTATATAAACAAAGATATTTTTGATTAGAAAATTGTCGATGAAAACAAGATGCATTCGATTGCACTAACAAATATACCATTGGTGCACACGTGCGTAAAATCGAACGACGATAGGACGAATAAGAGAAAAAACGAGGCAGAATGGTTAATGGGCAAGCATCAAGTACACGATACGATAAACTTCGACCGTGTGAAATGTTGGGATCTTCTCTTCTCCAACGATAAACTAGCGAAATGAGAGTAGACTTTGCCAATACAATCATGGTTTTTATATCGTGTGGCTGTGGAATTTGGGTTGTGTTGTTGCGCGAATTATCTCACTGAGGAAATCGGGCGTCAGCGTTCAACGCGTAAAGGAAGCNTTCAGGAGGGAAACACGTGTAGGTGAGAAGTTACGACAACGAACTCTGATGAGCTCAGATCGGGAGAAAGATTTGTATGCACTGTGTGAATAAACTTTAGGTCGAACGAAGAGTAAGCAATGGTCACTGGAGGAAATGGGAGCGTTTAGTGCTAAAAAAGGGGTTGGATGGTTGGTAATTACTCTATCCAGTATAGAGTTACCTCTTGTGGGAGAGTGACAGAGATCTGTCATACCCAATGAGACAAGTAGANGTCACAAACGATTATGTGCAGGTTAACATCCAAAAGTAGGACAATAAAAGGTATGAACGAGTCAAAGAATCACATTCGATCGAATTGTGTACAGCAGGGCGCCATATACAAGGTAGTCGTAATTGTGTAAGTAAAACGGGAAAATCTAGGGTGACATTGTATAGTAAGACACTCAATACCTTTTGAGCAGTACTGGGAATTGTCACACCAGGAAAGGTTGAAATATATGGCAATACCCCTCCGGTCTTTCTTCCTCCTGGTCCACGATCCCGCTGGTAGAGTAGAAAACCGTACATTGACACCAGAAAGTCGTCTACGTCCTCATTTAACCAGGATTCTTGAGCACAGACTGCACATGTGTTCGTATCAATTCCCGATCGGAGGACACTAGTTAAATCCGATATTTTGGGAAACAGGAACCGAGTGTTGGCCTGACCGATGAAGGGAAAGTCAGCCATGAGGGAGACAGCAATTAAGCGCAACCTCCATCCTGCACGTGTTAAATTCGTCCAGCCTGGACAGCCAGAAAATGCAGTCATAAAAACCGCGGAAAAAAAGCATGCCCAGACATAATTAAAAAAACCGGGAATTCCCTTAGGTAACGACGGCGCATCATAGTGAGTGAAAGGTTGGAAAGTCCAAAAATATGAAGCAAAGTTCGTAGATCCTGACAGTACTAGCACAAGGTAGCAACCAAGAAACGGTCCACAGAAATCACCGTG